AAGTAGCATATACAAGTGTCTAGTGTTCGGCTTACATGCCCATATTATTTTTACTTACCAATTTGACCCCGAACTCATGTCGTTGGTTATGATTTGACCGTATCACTTGTAGCAGTGTGAGTGAAGCCACATTTGCAAACGAACTGATTATTTAGGTAACACATTGGTACATATACTTCTTGATTTAGAATAGAGGAGGTGTTTAACAAATTTCCTTTATTAGTTATTTTCCTGAAATTAATTTAAACATGACATCGTATATCTTGTGCTCATTGTTCTCAAACTGCATGCGTCCAAGAGTTGTATGGTACTGTTTGTTGCTAATGAGTCACCATAAAGTTCTACGGAATAAGTGGTTTCTGCGTTGCAGGTGGAACATTTGCTCTTTATTCATTGCTCTGCCGACATGCAAATGTAAAAACTATTCCTAACCAACACCGGACTGATGAAGAGCTAACAACGTATAGTCGTTCTACTTTCCATGAACAATCATATGCTGCAAAAACCAAGAAGTGGTTGGAGGGGCATACATCAAGGAAGAATGCCCTTCTTCTTCTGGTCCTCGTTGGCACTTGTATGGTGATTGGTGATGGGATTCTTACTCCAGCTATATCTGGTACACATTTCTTGACACTAGAAGTCATATATCTTTTCCTGATAATCTATCTGTTTATCCTTTTTGTCTCTCTGCCATTATTTGTTCTTTCATAAGCAAAAGTTGTTTATTAGAAAGGGCCCAATGGGGGCACAACCCAGGTACACAAGAAGCGTAAGGAACTTTTTATTAAAAGGCCTAAATAGGTAAATAAACAAATATATATATATATATATATATATAGAAAAAGATAATGGGATGTGGGGGTGAGTGTGGTTATCGACATGGATAACAATCTCTTCCAACCTTACAATCCTAGAGTTTCTTTCCAAAAAAAAAAGAAATATACTTTAATAGGGGCTGTAGATTACTAAAGATTCTTCCAAGAAAGGAATTAAAATGGGAAAAAATCAACGCTTGAAATGAGTGCGGTTAAAATTGTTTTGTTTCTCTCCATATCATTAGAAGATATCAACTATGCTTTGCTTTTGGCAGTTTTATCAGCCGCTGGCGGGATCAAAGTAAGCAGCCCTGGCATGAAAAATGGTACCGTCATATTCCTTGGAACTAAATGTTTTTATTTTTTAAATGTGGTTCCTTGCCTCTGTACCTCTCTCAGTCACTACTGCTGAATTATATCTTTAACTGATACTTTGTTTGTTGTGGTGCAGATTATGTCATACTTGTTGCTGTTGTAATATTAGTAGGCTTGTTTAGCGTACAGCACTATGGTACAGATAAAGTTGGTTGGCTCTTTGCTCCCATTGTGCTCCTTTGGTTTCTCTTAATTGGAGGTATTGGCATTTTCAACATCTGGAAACATGACAGTAGTGTTTTGAGAGCTTTTTCGCCTGTCTATATATATCGGTATTTTAAAAGGAATGGGAGAGATGGTTGGACTTCCCTTGGAGGTATCATGCTTAGTATAACAGGTAAAGTTTCTGTATCCTAATTTCACTTTTCAGCTCTTTAAGTTTCTGTATACTAACACCACATCCGCTATTTTGGATTCTGATGACAAATTATGAATTATTACAGGGACTGAAGCACTCTTTGCCGACCTTGCCCATTTTCCAGTTTCAGCTGTACAGATTGCTTTCACTACGGTTGTGTTTCCTTGCCTTCTTTTAGCCTATTCTGGACAAGCTGCGTACCTTATGAAAAATCATGACAACAAAACTGTGCTTCAAGCATTTTATCTTTCCATTCCAGGTTTGCCCTAATCTTTATTTTTGCATACATGGGAGAACACATAAACGGTTTTCTCATAATTAAGCACATTAAAAATTTTAGTAATAGTATTTGATAGAATTTAAAAAATATAAAAATATTTACTCAAGTCTTTTTATTCTTTTAAATCTTAACTAATGTAGATTACTGGGCCTTTTTTTCGGTACGAAGGAGGTCAAAGTGGGATGGGTAGCTTCAAACTTTGACTTTGGGTGTGAGGGTAAAACTCCCTACAAAAATCCAAAGTTGGCTGAACTTTAATTTACTAAACCAACCTGCATTCAAATTCATGTAGAAAGTTGAGAGATTATAAAGTATAATTTCTAATTCACGGATTAAAATGATAAATTGTAAGATGAAACAGATACAAATTCCATAAAGTTCTTTTATGATATGAGAATTAAGAAATCTTTCATCTCTATGAGCCCATACAATTTGGATTCTCTCAAATTTTTTCACTGTGCCATTCTCTATTGAATCTCTAACGTAAACTAAGAATATATGGGAAACGAGTAACATAATCTCTTAAACAATAAGTAGCATATTGTTGTTCCAAAGATGCTTATTGCTTCTCATACTGCAGAGAAAATATATTGGCCAGTCTTCATTGTTGCGACTCTAGCTGCAGTAGTTGCAAGTCAAGCAACTATATCGGCGACTTTTTCAATAATTAAGCAGGCTCTTGCACTTGGCTGTTTTCCTAGGGTCAAAGTTGTACACACATCAAAGAAGTTCCTCGGCCAAATATATATTCCAGATATTAATTGGATTCTTATGATTCTTTGCATTGCTGTGACTGCTGGATTCAAAAATCAAAGCCAAATTGGAAATGCGTATGGTAAGTTCATCCTTTGCTAAATGTCCTGAAGCTTATGTAAGCCATATTCTCTACTTTGTTGACTAGGCTCAAATGCAATTGTGAAAAATTCTTGGAAAGAATGTTTGGAACTTCTTTAAATAAAGAAATATGAGAGGAAGAAGTATTTGAGATAAATTAGGAGGTGAAGATGTATATGGGATAAATTAGGAGGTGAAGAAGTAGGGAGGTGGTGAACTTTTTAAGGTGACAATACAGACCAATAGTTAACTGACTTGCTGCTGTGAGAAATCGTATAAAAACCTGTTCTGGTACCATGATAACAATCCAAAACAAAGAGAAGATAGAAGCTCTTACTTTATTGAATGATTAACAACCCAAACATTAATAAGAGATGCAAGAGTATGTGTATACCTTTAATAATATTCAATTAGAATTTTGGTCATTGATTTTAAATAAGTTAATATTTATGGTAGCTCAGGGTCTTTCTTCCAAATCATGCTTGCACTCAATTGCATTATGTTTTATGTTATAACAGGGACGGCAGTTGTCGTGGTCATGCTAGCAACCACACTGCTCATGACTCTAATCATGATATTAGTGTGGCGCTGTCATTGGATTCTCGTCCTGATATTCACTGGTTTGTCACTGGTTGTGGAATGCACTTACTTTTCTGCTGTCCTCTTCAAGGTTGATCAAGGTGGATGGGTTCCTCTTGTGATTGCGGCTGCCTTTCTTCTCATCATGTATGTTTGGCATTATGGTACATTGAAACGTTATGAGTTTGAGATGCACAGTAAGGTTTCAATGGCATGGCTTCTTGGACTAGGCCCCAGTTTAGGACTGGTTCGGGTCCCTGGGATAGGACTTGTGTACACCGAGCTTGCAAGTGGAGTGCCTCACATCTTTTCCCACTTCATCACCAACCTGCCTGCGATCCATTCTGTTGTCGTCTTTGTTTGTGTGAAGTATCTTCCTGTATACACTGTCCCAGAAGAAGAAAGATTCCTTGTAAAGCGGATTGGCCCCAAGAGTTTCCACATGTTCCGTTGCGTTGCAAGATACGGTTACAAAGATCTCCACAAGAAAGATGATGACTTTGAGAAAAAACTCTTCGATAACCTTTTCATGTTTGTCCGGCTCGAGTCCATGATGGAGGGGTGTTCAGACTCGGATGAGTACAGTATATATGGCCAGCAAACTGAGAGGTCAAGGGAAGGCCTAATAAATAATAATGACAACACAATTGGATCGACTGCAGACCTTACTATCTCATCAGTGGACTCAATTGTGCCTGCTAAATCTCCATTGCATGCAAACAATACTATGAGTTCATCCAGTCAACTGAGCATGCAGAATGAGATTGATGAGCTAGAATTTTTGAATAATTGTAGAGATGCTGGGGTGGTGCATATACTTGGGAACACGGTTGTGAGAGCAAGGAGGGATTCCAGGTTCTACAAAAAGATAGCTGTTGATTACATTTATGCATTTCTTAGAAAAGTTTGCAGGGAGCACAGTGTGATCTTCAATGTTCCTCATGAGAGTCTTTTGAATGTTGGACAGATTTTCTATGTGTAAATTTTCTGTCTATCGTCAATGAAACTTACATCATACTGTAAATGCCGATTGTTTTTCACTCTTCTTGCATTTTAAATCATATTAGGAATGCAATTGTAAAGAAATGTTGAGAAAATCTTGACAAATGGGATATCTGTTTGGGCTACTCCTGTTGAACATGGGGAAATATATACGTTGTGGTAAATTTTCAATAATAATTTTGTTATTTACTTTATTATTATGAAATTTCCACCAAAACAAAAAAGAGACATTAATATAGTTTTCAATTATTCTCTAGCTACATGGGCTGCTAAAGCCTAAAGAACCCATCTAGTAATCATCATAATTTGAATTTGGACAACACAATGGGCTGGTTGACAGATCCGACCCATTTGGATTTGGGTGAACCTAAAAACCAACAATATGTGGTCGCAGCCCAACCTTGTCAGCCAAAAACCTAGGCTGGACAGAAGGCCCAAAACCTATTACAATGCAGCCCTAAGATTTTCAGGGCAATCCGGGCTCAACGTACATCTCTCTGCTTCCGCCACCTCAGCGCTGGGCAGCTACTGGCAGGTTATGGCTGGGCCTCGTGACCGTTTTGCATGAATCCCTCCACCGTTTCAACAGTCTTACTTCTACTCCCTTCTTCTCTGCACTAAACAACACAAACACAGAAGTTTTTCAACGTTTCTCTCTCTGTTTGTGCAAAAGCTATGGCAGGAGATATATATATATATATATATATATATATATATTTATATATATCATCCCTTCAACTTTTGTAGGTTTAATTTTTGTGGGTTCTTTTCAGACTGCTGATAACAATATGAATTCGGGTGCAGAACTTCCTGGGTTTTACTATGATGCGGAAAAGAACAGGTACTTCCCCACCAAAGGTCCAATACCCGGCTCCCGTCGTGTGACTACTGCTGCTTCTTCTTCCAGCGCTCAAACACCGGCCCAGGTACACTAGTTGTTCTGCATTTGAACCCAAATTTTGTATATTTTCCCGGAGTTTTGCCTATTTTAAAGTTTGTATCTTTGTTATTTTTTTATGCTTCTCAGCTTAAATGAGCTCAGAATTGTTTCTATGGTATATGGGTTCTGGTTGAATTTGTATTTTACTGCAACTTCTTTTTCGGTTTGGGGGTGGATTGGGAGTAAAATGTTGTGTTCCACTTGCTCTGGTGATGTTCGTCAGTTTCTTATTGTGAGTTTTTCATGTCACACTGACGGGATTTTCCTGACAATTGATCATTAGAATCGAGCTAATCTCATTCCTTGAAAAAAATTTGGCATGCTGAGAATTTTCTCTGTGTTACACATTAAAGTTGTTATCTTTTTAATGTATGGAGTGGTAAGCAGCGTAAAATCTCATGGTGATCAGGTACTCGTAGTGCAACTTTTTCTTTGGCCTTGGGTTAACATACTAATGACTTTCATCATAGATTTGCGTCCAGTGTTGTAAAGAAACTAGTGAATCCCTAAGCCTTTCTGTTGTATGTATTTTCGTATGGTATTACTTATTATTCACATAGATTTACAGCAGCTGTTTCTTCCTGTTAATCTGCATCTTAAATCCCTCCAGATTTATAGCTGCTGCTTATTCTTGGTTTTTATTTATTTATTTATTATTATTATTATTTTTTTAATGCTTTTAGTTAGGCTGGTTACTATATTTTCTGAAGGACTTTAATGCTGGTTCTTATTCATCTTGTTATAGGTGAGCAATTCATGTAGGCGAACCAGAGTAAAAACTTCTAAGCTGCTTCATGACAGGGAGTTATGTGGTAATCTCATCGCTTCCAGTAAAGGAAGGTGTAACTTTTATGAGGAATTCCAAAAGGCGCAAGTATCCCATCCTGTGGTATGTTTGATTTACTATAAGGCTTCATTCTAGGATTTTAAGTTCAGTTTTCCAGTTATGTTCAAATTTAGCCCATTATGATTCCAGCAATTTTTTTTTTGGGTTTTACTTTCTGCTTGATTGTTTATTACCCATATCTGATATTGCAGGTTGTAATTTATATTCTGCAGGAAATTTATAATTTTATTTTTATCTCAGTGTTCTATGAATTGCAGGTTTGGAAGTATCAGGGAACAAATCAGTTAGGTGATGGTGCTTTGGAGCGGATTCGCATGGATGTACAGACAGGAGAGGAACTAACTGATACGGACTTTGTATTAGCAGGTGGCGCTGATGGCTCTTTAAGGTAGAATAAATTTGCAGTCTGATGTAATTTTGCATGCATATTTTCTTGTTTTAATAATGTTTGATATGTTAAAATTTGTGATAAATTGATAATAGTTTTGGAATAAGATATGGTAGCATGAATAAGTGGTTGTGTATAGGGTTTCGAGACTTTGAAAATGGATCTGTTCTGTCAGAATAGTATGAGAACTTGTGCCGTATTTAGTTTTTTAGTTCTAAATAAATAGCATTAATGCGCTAGGGCTACTGCATAATGGGGGTTGCTTTAAGACATGTATTCAGGTACTCATGTATTGAAGTAAAAAAGAACCATGCATGTACAAATATAAATTCTACTACTTTCCTACTGTAGAATAAAAACAGAAGGAAGTGGGTTTGTTTCATTTTGGAGACATATGAAACAACAGAACAAAGTAGAAACCGCTCCACCTTTTGTATAGGAGCGAACTGTAGGAAATTGTCAGATGTCATTATTTCTCTAAACAGCCTGCAATCCATTTATCATGTGATAAACACAAGGTGTTGATTGGGGCCTTTATTTAAGAAGATTTTCTAATACGTTTTGTTTGAGGTATTGAAGAATTAACATAGTGTGTCTTATTGTATACGGTATTTAAGCATGTCTGAGCATGCATGTTGGGTGACAGCATTGAACATTTTTTGGTTGATTTTTGAGATTCACATATCTAGTTTCGACACGACAGTTCACATGTCAATCTGGAATGGTTCCTTTGATGGAAAGGTTTAAGAGAGTTTCTCTCCTTTCCTTTCCCTCCCAGTTTTGCTTGGAAGTATTAGCTTCAGTTGGAATTTGGATTTGGATGTCTTACTTAAGTATCCTAGATCTCCCCAACTAGTGGCTGTTGTGGGACCTAGATATATGACAATCTCCTTTCATTTATGCCATGGCATCCTCACTGAAAGAGGAATAAATGATGGCCCTTAGTAATGCAGAACACAAGCATTTACCTGCTCATAATACGTACTATCAGGTAGTGAGAAGGGCAGCTCCCTTTCCCTCACCATAAGGAGCAGTTGTGATAACCACGGTCTTTAAGGGATGGGAAATGAGCTGACTTGGATGGCTCTGATACTACTTTAAAGACTTCTTAAAAAGCTGCAAACCAAAGCTCGTAGCATTCCTTCAATTGGCCCCTTCTTTAGAGAATTTTTTTCTTTTGTGAGGATATGAATCCTCCCAAATTGTAACATGTGTACAATGCTAAATCCTAACCCTACACCCAGTGTCTTATAATTCAAGTGGATTCATAACACCACATGGCCGTCACAGACAATAATCTTTTCCTTCTCCACCTTTCAATCTATTAGCTTACTAATGCTAGTGTTACTATCAATATATGTTATTGTATTACTAGCATTGGTGTTAGCATTGACATAATTCTCTACTACAAACATCTTTTTCAGTGACATTTGGGCCTTTGGTTTCTGTTGATAACTAAGCTTTTCTGTTAGCGCTGACGTGGTCCTAAGTGATTTCATTCCACCATGGGCTTGTCAACAAGTACTTTCAACAATTTTCCATTGTGAGATGAGGCCCTGCTGAGTACTTTGACCCCACAAAATCAGTGCTTCTTACTTGCAGTGCTCTTGCTGATTTATGGCACTAATGTCTCCTAGACTCCGAGATTGGTCAATGATACTGTTTGTAGTACATATAGTGTGGAAATGCCACGCACTCTTAGTTATTCTTTTTGCTGTTTTGAAAAGCACCATCTCAAATTCTCTTTACGTGCATCATGTTTAAGAGTGGTTTATATATTTATTTCTAGTTTTTTGTTTTTTTTCCAATGATAGTTTCAATTTCTGTCTTAATCTGCTTGTTACTATGATATGAGTATCGGTGTTTATTTGTATTACACATGTGTCTTTTGGAATTCTTATCCTATGGTTCTTGGCATCTCTATTTCCAAATAAGTTATTACTAATCTCTCTGAAATATGATGCTTTTGCTGTATTTTTGAAGTTGGGAAAGTTGGGCAGGGTCTTGAGTATGGGCTGAAATGTAAGGCAGATCGTGTCTGGCCACTGTTGAACGAAAGTCAACTAGAGTGTAGTGAAGTGCCTGGGCACATATGGAGACCAGCTCAAGCTACACCACGAATGCCATCGAATATATCTCGTATAAAATTGTTTGGAAAGCAGTCTCCTGGCACAGAAGATGAAAGTTCACGCACCCAGCATATGTTGTATCCTTTCATACATGATCAGACTTCTTCTTACAGTTTAATATAGAATACAAGTTTGATGCTTGTGCATGCACACATGTAGTTGTTGGACTTAAAACTCTTACAATACTTTCTAGACCTTCTTAGCTTATCCAAAAAAGTGTCCAGTACGTATCTTATTGAAGAAAAAACTAATCTTTAACCTTGTTGAACTACTCAATTTTAATCCAAATAGGCTTGTCTTAAGGCGAAACATTTATGAGATTGTAACTTTCAACTGCACTATTTGGACCGCAGATTGTGAACCTGATGGGAGTCGTGCAGTGATTGGTAAGTACTATTTCCTTTTTATATCATTATATTTTAAACTGTGTTAGTCATGATTCATGGTAGCTTTAATGTTCTCTTATTTGCGGGTTAATACAATATGATCCTCTGGCTTGAAAAATTTAGTGCATGCACACACACAGAGTTCTTGGATATGATACCCAAAATTCAATATTAGCACACTCTGGTTTGAAAAATTCAGCACACACATCTCTCTCTCTCTCTCTTTCTGATCATTGTGACATAAAGACATTTCGATAATCAACTGTTCCCCTTGCTGTTTTGAACTTATACTGGAGTAATTTGCTTTCTTTCCTGCTTTGGTGTTGCTAATGCTGCTAGTATGCATAATATGCTTGAAGGCAACAGTTTTTCAGAAGTGTAAATGCTATTGTTAAGAAAATTTATTTTGTTTGTTATAGGAACCAACCTGGGAGCTGCTTTGGTGGATTTGGAAACTGGGCGGGCATCATGGCTGTTACGTAGTAAAAGTGATCTTTTGGCACAAAAACTCGTTCACACAGTAATTTATTAGTCTTGTTTCTACTATTAATGATTAATATTAGGATTATTGTATTCGTGTTGTTCTTGGATAAATAATTATTGGTAAGTTATTATTCTTCTTTGATAATTCAGAAGTATCTAACTATTCTATACCACATTTCCCTATCTTTACTACTTTTAGAAGATATCTACATATTTGGCAAATGTGTTGCTGGAAGTCAGCTGGTCTGCTGTGGAACAGTAGTGAGATGCACATGCATCCAGTTAGCTTTTAGTTGCAGCTCGAAGCAATAATTCAAAATTGGTTGAAATCAATTGGCTTTTCATGAGCCAGTTCTAGTAGCAATGTCAGCTAATGGTCAAGGAATCAGATGCTACACTCTGGTCAAGTTTGTGGAAACTCGTAGAAATTTTACCTTAATGTCTAGGTTATTGAGGGAAAATTTTCAGGTCCATGTGGTATGTTGCCACTGCCCTCTATGGTCCTTCCTATAGTATTGAGGAGAAATAACTTTGTACTAAAAGTTCCTCTTATGTGCGTTGTTACGTATGAACAAAGCCCAAAAAAAATTTCGACCAAAAAAAAAAAGCCATAAAAATCCTCTGAGGACTCTTGAATATTGACATAAAATGTAGCATCTTTCCGGTAACGGAATCCAAGTGCCCTCTCAAGGGATGGAGTTGAACATTGCATTCACATGCTGTCTCAGTCAAAATTTACATACCAAAATCAGTTGATATAACTTGGCATATTTGGCAATGTCACGAATACACCATTACAATATCAAGTTTGAGGGATCAAGGGAAAAAAACAGACAACATTTTTCATGCCTATATAAATGACCCGAAATATATTCGAACATTTAAATAGTATATCCGAGCGGCTATATTGTTTTTGGTTGTTGTTGGAAGTATAGCCATCCGGCTATCTTTTCCGGAAAGTTACTATTCATCACCGTATTTAGGGCTCGTCAATGGGCCGGGCCGGGCTAGCCCGGCCCAAATTTAACGGGCTTGGGCCGGGCCGGGCCGGCTTTAAAGAGGAGAGAAAATATCAGGCTGGGCC